ATCAGGTATCTGTCCGATACAAGACTCATTTACTCCGATATCACCTTATACTATAATGTAAGCCTAGTGTATTGGCTAGGATGGTTTTGGTTGGTGTGACTTGGAGGGATGGATGCTGTCAGATCACCTCTTGTATTCAGAGATGCTTTTTTAATCACTGTTGTTGTAAAGAGTAGTTATTTCAGTAACTCCAGTTCTCATCTGACCTCTGTCATCAACACGGTGTTTCCACTCACAGAACTGATGCTCATTGATTACTGTTACCATGGATGAGATGCGTTTTGAATAAGAGGAAGATAAATAGATGTCAGGTCTGTTGGTGTTGCGTTGATAAAAGCTAAGTGAGGTTATTAAGAAATTGGAATTTCTGTGAGTCGTGGGTGTACTATTGTGTAAGTATCTATATAAGAGTCATCGTTAAGATTTTATGGGATCCAGTTGCTACAGGCCCTCCTGCGCAATGGGCCGTACTGCGATAGCCGAACACCTTGACCTTCCAGTATTTACACCAATGGGTACTGATCCCTTCAAAGAGGCTGAATATCGGATAATATGAAAGTTAAATAAGATTTATTTCAGACTTATTAAAGAAAACAACATTATAAAAAAGATTAGTCTTTGTTTCACTTTTAAAATGAAAAGAGCTCTAAAATAGTTCAACGATTTCACATCCTCAGCTTGTTGTGTGAATTGTAAATGAATAATTTACAAAAATAGAACACCAACATCATTTTGAAATATTGTGGTTATTTTTTTTTCTATTAATTATAATTTGCGTTTCATTTCATGTATAATGTAAACGTCCCTTGAAGCGTAATGCAAATAACCATCAAAATTTGACTGTTATTTTTTAATCAAAGAAGAGTTTTTATTACTGTTGTTATATTATAATTTTGTTATTATTGCTGTAGGTAAACGCAGTAGTTAGATCTCTCACAATTATTCCATAATTGAACCATTGCCTGATAGCAATTTTTTTATCAGAATTTAATTGAATGTTTATCAGTTGAGTCAAGGTAAAATCATGTAAATAAAAGAAAGTAGAAATTGCATTTATTAAAACATCATATGTCTTATGTACACAACTAAAAATTTAACTTCCTACTTGGTGTTTTACCACCTTTAGAGGGCAGCAGTGAGTAATGTTCATTTATTTGACCTCCAGCTGATTTTGTCATCAGTTGAGAACAACAAAGTATTGACATTTAAGAAGGAAGACAGCTAATCAGCCAGTTAGGCCATTTTAGGCTTGTACTTTAATATAATTCAGTTCAGTTAAAAAAAAAAAAATCAATGAAATTAATAATTGCAATTATTTTCATGGCAATTAATCAAGTTAAATTTTCATGATTGTGCCAGGCCTGGTAACAGTGCAGTGTTTACCATCCAATAATGCAAAAATCAGAATGTTCAGCAGGTGCTGGAAAACAATAGAGAAATGGATAGGACTATAAAGACAATACAGTTTGATAGATATATTAGACAGCAGCACATAATAGCAGCAGTCAAGAGAGGAGTTAATGAACATTTGTGGTGTGTGTGTGTGTGTGTGTGTGTGTGTTTGTGTATGTGTGTGAGAGAGAGAAAGGAGGTTAATGTTGTTTGTGATGTTTTCACTGCCTGAAGTGTTTTCATGTGTGTTTCATATCCGGGCTGTGATGCTGCAGTGCCTGCAGACTTTTACACAAAAAAGTCTTCTCTCTTTCTCTTTCTCTCTTTCTCTCTTTCTCTCTCTCTCCCTCTCTCTCTCTCTCACTCTCTCTTCTCTCTCTCTCTTCTCTCTCTCTTTGAGAGGCAGCCTGGCTCACTCAGAGCTGCACAGATTTCGTAGGAGGAATAATTATGAAGGGAGATCGCAAATGTGTGTGTGTGTGTGTGTGTGTGTGTGCGCATGTGAGAGAGAGAGAGTGTGTGTGTGTCTGTCTGAGTTTGATCCAGTTCTGTTGCCTTTTTCTGTCTGTCTGTATGACCTTGCACTACCGCTTGTATTTGTGTGTGTGCGTGTGTGTGTGTGCGTGTATGTGTGTGTTTTGAAGTAGTAGAAAAATAGAAATAGATTATTCTTGCTCGTTTCTCGGCCGCTGTCCCGTTCTTATCTTCAATCAGTCTGGGTTAATTTGGTGCAGTAGGCGTATGTCTGTAAGTGTCCTCTGTTAAAGCTGGTTATTATACCTAAGTCTGTTATACTCACTGTAATAGTATTAACAGTAATAACAGACTGCCAATTAGAAAGAATTCTTTACATGCACTTTTTACATGCAGTATTGTGCAAAATCTTGGCCACATAAGGAAATTGTTTAAAGGGCCTGTATCATACATTTGTCTTGTATTTAATACATTTCCTTGAGGTTCTCTTATGACGTTTGTGAGGTTATATGTATCAAAAACAATCATTCATTTTCACATGGCCATTTTCCAACCCCTGTTTATCCCTTAAACATGCTGCTTTTGTTACTGCGCCTTCATGACTGATATATGTAAAAGAGTTTTGTTCTGATTGGCTCTGGATTGTGCCTCTCAGAGATGAAACACTCCATATAAGATCAGCCTGATTGAGCGGCACTAAACTGCTGTAGACTGAGTGGGTGGGTATATGCAAATGTGCTGGTTTCGTGACACCATATATTACATATATGGACTGTATAGACTGAGAAGTGAGGGGTACATTTTGAATTTTTTTTAACTTTTTTGAAAACGTTATCTGTGCAATACATGATAAAAAGTTAACAAAAAGTAACAAGAATTCTTGTTCTCAGAAAAGCAGTACATACACTATATGGACAAAAGTATTGGAATACACCTCTTAATCATTGAATTCAGGTGATTCATTCAGTCCCATTGCCACAGGTGTATAAAATCAAGCACCTAGCCACGCAGTCTGCCTTTGCAACCATTTGTGAACAAATCGGTTTAAAGAGCTCTGAATTCGAGTGTGGTGCTGTAATAGGATGCCACTGTTGTTTCTTCCCTCCCAGATATTCCGCAATCAAATGTAAGTGTTATTATCAAAAAGTGGAAGCGTTTGGGAACCACAGCAATTCGGTTACAAAGCAGGCAGAAGTTACAGAGCGGGGTCACAGAGTGCTGAAGCGCATAGTGCATAAAAGTCGCCACACTCTCCTGACTCAATAACTGCAAATTTCCTAACCTACTCTGGTGTTAACATCAGCACAAAAACTGTGCTGGCTTTATGGCATCAGTTTCCAAGGCTGAGCAGTTGCATGCAAGCCTTAGATCACCAAGCACAATCCCAGGCGTCGGATGGAGTGGTGTAAAGCATGCCGCCACTGGACTCTGGAGCAGTGGAAACATATTCTGTGGCGTGCTGAATCACATCTCTCTATCTGACAGTCTGATGGACCAGTCTGGGTTTTGGTGATGCCAGGAGAACGTTACCTGTCTGACTGCATTGTGCCAAGTAGGAGGGAAAATGCTGTCCCCATGGTTTTCAGGAGTTGGCCTAGGCGCTGTAGTTCCAGTGAAGGGAAATCTTCTTGCTTCAGCAGACCAAGACATTTTGAATTGTACGCTTCCAACTTTGTGGGAATAGTTTAGGGAAGGCCTTTTTCTGTTCCAGCCTGACTGTGCTCCAGTGCGTAAAGCAAACTCCATAAAGCCATGGTTGGGTGAGTTTGGTGTGGAAGAGCTTGACTGGCCTGCACAGAGTCCTGACCTCAACCTCATCGAACAGCTTTGCTCCTGTAGGTGTCCCAATACTTTTGTCCGTATGATGTATCTTGTGAGCTATGGAGAAGAACAAGTGGTTTGGTTCCTGACTTTTCGGTGAATTTGTTCAGTCCATCTGCCTGATTTTATTTAAGGAAGAATTGATTTGATGAACTAGGTGTAAGCTAACACATTGAAAAAGATAAAAACTCGACTGACTGTATTAAAATTATATTATTATTATTTTCTCAGCAAAAAACACTGCCCGAATAAACAGCTTTTAAAAACATTTAGCAACTGTTTTTAAATGTCTGTTCACTTAAAAAGGAAGCCACAAAAAATTAATCGACATTATTCTAAGTCAATGCTAGATACCATACTGTGCATCAAGTGATTGAAGTGGTTTGAGGTGAAGGATGACCAGATGGCCAGGATGACTAGATTTAAATCGCATTGAGAATATGTGGGACTGTGTTGGGAAATATGTGAATAAGAAAAATCCACGATTATTGGTATGAAAGCAGCAGTGAAGAACAAACAGGAAGCAGTTCCTTTAGCTCAGTGGGTTTCAACCTGTGGGCCACAGGGGTTAGACTTAGTCCTGGACTGAATTACAGGGCCACTGGAGCTTCTAGTGTAAGTTTTGGAAAAATTAAGACAAATCAGCCCCAATTATTTATTTATTTAAGTAGTTCCTGTAGCTTAGAGTAATGCAACCGTTGTTGTCGCTTAGCGGTGGTCAGCGGAGTGATACCGGTATGGTGAACAACATGCTGATATCAGATATTAAACACACCTAGATCTCTTTTCAAGCAGACAGATTGTGGTTGCTAACTGTTAAACAAATGCTACGCTACATCCAGACCTCGGAATTCTTGCCTTTTTGTCATAACAAATAACAGGACATATCCAGAACTGAAGCACAAGTATGTTGTTTTAATACTAAAAGGTGAAATATCACAAAAAAACATGGAGGTCACTTATGCACAGTTTAGAACATTTGATAATAGATAGGTGGTAAGATTTGTTAACTGTCCATTCTACACTATTGGGTTCTGTTTTAGTTATATTGTCCAGGCCTGTCCTCCTGTCTTTATTTGTGTCTTACTGCATTATCTAAGGAGACGTGCATCATATGGCCCTGTTCATTGGCAGTTCTACTGTGGTGAAGCAGCAGTGTAAAAATAAGCTGTCTGTGATCCAAGATGACCACAACAATCCAAAAGCCAGTTCAGAAGTTCATGGTTCACATATAACAGAACCACAGTGGTCACTGTTGAATGGACGTACTTCCCCTGGGTTTCTAAAATGTGTGCTTTTTTTGTTTTCTACAGTGTGTGCACTGCCATGGCATCATGGATGAATTCAACTCTCAGTCCCTCACCGTCTGAGGTCAAAACAGAACCACCACCAGCAGCGGCAGTCGGAGGTCCTGAAGATAAACCAAGTGAAAGGTTTGTTTGCTCTGTTTCTTCACTGCCCAGCAAACGTTTGCTTTTTTTGGGACATTTTAAGTGTAATGTTTGATTTTCACTGTTACTTTTCAATTGAGAAAAATACACGCAAATGTCTTGTTATAATAAAGCAGCTGTGTCCTCATCTTTTTGGTATGTTTAGCTTCAACACTCAACGTCATGTTTATCAAAGTTTCTGCCTTGGTGTGAGAGCAGGTTTTGCCTAAGCACACATTAAAACTCTTTGGGCCCAAAAAATATTTAAACACCTGAAAGATCTCAGTGCTGACCTCACGACAAGAGGATAAAATGACCTGGGTGCTTAGAAAAATTTGGCTTTTTTTCCCACCTTTTATCTACTCTTCTAATGTTGAAGGAAAAAAAGACAAAGACTCTGAATGTATACTACACAATATGTATACACAGTATGTTGAACTGTGCATTATAAAATGGAAATAATATCTTAATTGTGAAAACATTTTGAAGAACCAAGTGTCCCCAGTTAGGGTTTGCATCTCAGCTGTGCTGAATGTTTACAGTTGTTCATTCATCCACTCCTGACTTCCCCCCCTGCACACACACACTCTGCCCCCCCAACACACACACATACAGGCCTCGACTGTCACAGGCATCACATCTTATACTTGTTTTTTTTCTCCAACTTTCCCTTTCCCCCTGTAGATTCACAAATATCCACACATTCCCTTCACCTAAGGAAATACACACACATACACACATTACAGTCATTAGGATGATGTACAGTTCAGCCCCAGACAAAGAAGCCATATTAACTTTCCAACTAAAATGACTGATGCCCTGTGGCAGCTGTTCAAATGCATTCGATTCACAAGCCATTAACACTACTCATACAAACAGGTTCCAAAAAAGGTTTGGCCTTCGAAAAATATGATCTTTCTTCGACTCCATTGTTAGAGTTGGAGAAATTTTGCATCGCATCACATCCACATCCAAACTTTTCTCAGTCTATCCGTCTGAGTGCAGTGTTTTGACTCCAGCCCTTCCCCAAAAAACACACCACTGTTGCTCTGAGGCAATGTATGAAATATTTATCGCACTGCCAGGTGCGGAAGACTCGCTCTGTGCTTTTCACTGAATAGCAGAGAGATAAGTACGAGTGGGGTTAGCCTGGTCCAGTCAGCTATGACATTTTAACAGCACCCTTTTGAAAAAAACACCTCACTTTGTTAAAGAAAAGGCTGCTTTTGTAGTAAGCATTAAGTGCATTTGTACTTCTTTCCCGTCCTCATAGCCCTTTGAAACTTTTACTGAACTGCGGTTATGCGCCTTTTTATTTTTTCAGGGCTGAGAGTGATATCCAGGGAAGGACAGGAGTGCCTAACAGCCGCCAGCTCCTCTGGGCTTACTTTTAAATTTCTCTTCATTGTGAATCGTAGCTGGTGTTTCGTTGTTGGCTCTTCTTCTCTTATTCAAGCCACGTGTGCTGTCTACGTGTATGTACATTTTCAGGTTTAAAAAAAAGTCTTCATAGGCAAACCAGAGAAAAATAGGACTAACCTACAGGATCAACAGAATAGTTCTGACTTTGTCCATGCATTTTGGAGTTTACTTTTTATTAACGTTTTGGTTACCGAGATTAAGATTAGCTTTAAGGTTAGGCTTTTTAAAATTCTTTTTACATATATATCAGTAAGGGCTTCCCAAAGCATTGAGTTGTCTCAGTGTTGTGCACAGTGGAGGGATGGACAGGATTTTTTTTTTAGATCTGAAGCAAGATTACAAGATTGATTTTTGCCTCTCTCTCAAAGATGAAAACTTTCTGTACTGTTTGTCTGATGGTGACAGTTTTGGTGATCTACCAGGTCTCGCATGTTTGTTAGGAGTCCTATTTTCTCTGTTTTTTAAATCATTTTTGAATGCCAGTTTTGGAAACTCCTGTTTTTTCACTTATTTTTCTTTTACTTTCTGCTTCTTGAAGCAGCTGGATTGTTTTGTATCTAATCTTTTCAGACATATCTCCTGAAAAAATAAAAATATTGTCACTATCAGAACAAAACCTTGCATCTTCAAAAAAGTAACTTAACGGGAGGAAAATAGGAAAAAAATCTAAACTTTCAGTATAAGTCAAAGTAACAAGACTTTATTGATGCCAATTTTGGAGCTGTTTTGTTGATCCATTCATCATGAATTTTTGACACAGTATAAACGACAGCTGACATTTTCAAATTGTGTTACAAAATAAACAATGGAAAAAATAGAAATTCAAGGTTTTGTTCCGACAGCTACTCTCCTATGTGTGTACAAAGTATGTTTAAAAAGATGCAGATTGCTTCCAATGACGCTGCCTTTCTGCCTGTTCTACCTTTTAGAAACAATACACACACACCCTTTCTCTGTCTGAATCAAGAGCAGTCGTCAGATTGAAAAGCCACGTCCATCCTAGTCCTCCCCCACCCCCCTTTCTAAAAAGGTGAAGCAGTCCACTAACTGATTGCCTCCATTTTTCAGTGTCACCCTGATGAAAGCCAAGGCTGTGTACCCGTGCGAGGCTGAGCACGATTCGGAACTTTCCTTCCAGGTCGGAGCAATCTTCCACGCCGGTAAGTGGGAGTGTTATCGGCCACTCGCTCACTTGCCCGCCCCGAATCCGCCGGGATATTGGATTCGCCGGACCGAGCGGTTGGCTGACTGAAAATCTGATCTCATATCACCATAGAGAAGGGGGAGGGAGAGAGAGAAAGGGAGGGAGAAGGAGAGTGTCCTGCTGAATCAGTCCACAGAGGACGAGACAAAGTTATAATCATGCAGAGAGGAAATGAGGGTTTCTGGCTTCGAGTGTTGTTTTTCGCACCCTTTATCACACAAGCAGTCGCTCTCCTGGACTTGCTTTGTCTTTACCTTTACCTGTGTGTGAATGTATTGACTGTTCCTTTCTCAAAGTCTTTCTCTGGCAGGTGAGGGATGGTTACCAGTTTAATGATGTTGATATACCAATATAATAATACATACAGTTGATACATTAATGATACTCATATAATCAGATTTTTATTCTAGTAACCAATTAACATATTTTTAAAATTAAAAAATTTTTTAAATACTTACAAAAGTAAATAAAGGATAAATTTCACTTTCCACAGATCCTCATATGAATGCTTTTGCTTCATCAGGATTTTCTCAGGTTTTATGAAATTAATATATATTGGTGCGCCAGATGAAAATGCAAAAAGCATTTGGTAGCATGAGAATGAATTGATACAAGAGGTTAAAAAACTTCTATCAGTATAAAACGTGGTGAAATGATGTCAGCGGCCCTTATTCATCAATGTTGCATAAAGAATGCAGATTTTACCACCTTTAATGATGTAAAAACTACCCTGCGTGTGATTCATGATTTTGTGTGATGTGGAAGATCTGAGCACAAATAATGAATCAGCTTCAGTGCGTGAAAAGAAGCATATTTGAATCTTATTTGCATATCATTTACCTGAAGCACACCTTAATTCATTCAGCGGCTCGTGAGCTTTGTCATTGCATTGTCGCAGTTCGAGGTCGAGCAGTGACTGTTTTGTTCCCCCTACTGACCAGACTTTATAGTATTAAAATTACAATAACTGGAAAGAATAAAATGTGAAATAAACAAAATGGCTTAGTTTTTAAGATAGTAGAATGATGTTACTGTGATGATCCATTCATCTTGAATTTTTGACAGTATAAATGACAGCTGACATTTTCAAACTGTGTTACAAAATAAACAATGGAAAAAATAGAAATTCAAGGTTTTGTTCCAACAGCAACTCTCCTGCACATAAATGCAATTTATGTGCAGATTATTTAAACCCTATTTTTCATTGAAAATAGTACAAAGACAACATATCAAATGTTGAAACTGAGAAAATGTATTGTTTATTGAAAAATGTTTGCCCGTTTTGAATTTGATGCCAACAACAGTTGGGACAGGGGCAACAAAAGGCTGGTAAAGTTGTGTAATGCTAAAAATTAATTGTTAATTGGCAACAGGTCAGTAACATGACTGGGTATAAAAAAGCATCCCAGAGAGGCTGAGTGTTTCAAAAGTAAAAATGAAGTTCACCACTCTGTGAAAGACTGTGGGGCAAATAGTGCAACAATTCAAGAATAATGTTTCTCAATGTAAAATAGCTAAGAGCTTTTTCTCTTCATCATCTACGGTACATAATAACATTAAAAGATTCAAAGAATCTGGAGAAACCTTTGTATGCAAGGGACAAGACCAAAAAACAGTATTTGCTGGCCATGATCTTTGTGCTCTTAGGCAGTACTGTCTAAAAAACCGACATGCTTCTGTAGTCACTAGAAAAAAAGGAAATCACTGCATGGGCTCAGAAACACTTCTGAAAACCACTGTCTTTGAAAACAGTTCATCGCTGCATCAACAGATGCAAGTAAATAATCTAAAACGCAAAAAAAAACCATATATAAACAGTATCCACAAATGCTGCCACCTTCTCTGGGCCCAAGCTCATTTAAAATGGACTGAGTGGAAGTGGAAAAGTGTTCTGTGGTCCTCCGGGCTAAAGACCACTCAGCTTGTTATTAGTGCACAGTTCAAAAGCCAGTATTCATGATGGTATAGGGGTGCATTAGTGCACATGGCATGGGTGATGTGCACATCTGTGAAGGCACCATTAATACTGAACAATATATATACATGTTTTGGCAACATATGCCGTAGATGATGTCTTTTTCATGGAAGGCCTTGCTTATTTCAGCAAGACAATGCCAAACCACATTCTGCATGTATTACAACAGGATTGCTCCATATTAAGAGAGTCCGGGTGCTAAACTAGCCTGCCTGCAGACCAGATCTGTCACCACTGATCAAATTTGGAGGCTTATGAAATGAAAAATACAACAAAGGTTAATAAAGGCATGAGTTCGATCATACATATATGCCAAAGATGAAACTGTTGAATAACAAAAATGTAGTTGAAATTCGCGTGTTGATTTTCTGGCAAGATTTGTCTGTATATAACAGTGATGGAATAAGGGCCAAAATGTGTTAGTGCTTTTAAACATTTTCAGTATATTTTAACAATACAGTAGTAATACCAAAAAAACCATGAGATGATAGTACATTTTCCTACTGTCCTATCCCTTTTTTTTTTGGCATTCATGGCAGCTGCTTACTGCCCACACAAAGTTTGCTGAGACCCTGAGCTCTGGCTATTTTAATTATCAGTGAAAATGAAGAGTCATAGTGCACTCTGTACTTGGATGCTACTCTAACCGGTCTTGCGGGTGAAGCAGATACTGTTGCTCTTCTTTAAAGCATCTGACTTTCTCTTGGCATCTAACCGAGCTTTATGCTTTGGCCATTTTCTCAGCATTGCTGCAGGTGGAAACTTCTCATCTTCCACCCACTTTGGTTAAAGGTCAAACTCCCTCGTTCTGGCTTTTAACTTTACCTAGCTGCACCACAGACCCATGCTAATGGCCAGCAAATTAGCAAGCTTTTCACAGTAATTATACAGTTAATTCTTTCTCTTCAGACATTAACCCCTGAAACTGTGAGGGTCTGCACGTGAGTATCTCACTCTCGTAGCTACAGAACTTAGAAATTTGTTTTATATTGGGTCTTAAGATTGACAAGAGTAATAACCCTACAGTTCAGCTTAGGTGTGCATAATATATTGGCTGATATATTGGGAAAATGTTTATCATAATTACAGGCAGTAACTGCACTCCATTTGTGCTCATACGTGCAGTGGCGCATGTATAGTCTAAAGTGTATAGTCTCAATTCTTTTCTAAATTACTGATGTATAGCATAGTGGATAGCACCATCATCCCACACGTGGAAGACTGGATGTTCAGTTTGCTGTTCACTTCTGTATCAATGAGTCCTTCAGTAAGATTCCTAATGATATATTTAGTAAGTTGTTCTGTGTAAGAGGGTCCACTAAATATGCAAATATCAATGTTTACAAAAATGATTGTCTGATATGACTATGTAAAATGAACCATGGATCAAAATTTAGTTTTAAACCTGCCTTTCGTTCCCTGCACTTTATAGATGGATTGCATTGTGACTTTGTTTTATAATGGAAAAATAGGAAACGTATCAGTATTGGCCACATCAAGGTAATATAGGTTATCATCATCACCCCAGAAGTTGCATCCCTAATATAATTTATAGTGCTCTCTTAAAAAGATGGTGCCTCAAGGGTTCTTTAGTAAAGAAAATGGTTCTGTGTAGAACCATGAACACTCAAAGAACCCTTTGCATGATTCAGGGGTTCTTTGCATCATGAATGGGTTCTTCAGATTGATAGAGAATGTGCTGTAGATGGTTCTGTATAGGATCTTTTTGAAAATGGTTAGCACCCAAAAGGGTTCTTTTAATGTCGGTGTCAAGCTTGTAACAATAGAAGAACCCTTTTGGGTGCTATATAGAACCCTTTTCAAAAAAGGTCCTATATAGAACCGTCTTTAGCACATTCATGCACATTATTCATCAATCCAAAGAACCCATTGATGTAAATGATGCAAAGAACCCTTTAGTCATGCAAAGGGTTCTTTGAGTGTTCATGGTTCTATATAGAAACGTTTTCTTTACTAAAGAACCCTTGAAGCACCATCTTTTTTAAGAGTGTAGTTACTGAATAACCCCACAACCCAGGAGGAAAAGGGGTTTAGAATGTGTTTGTGTGTCTGTGTGTTACTGAATAATGCGTCATAAAGGGGAACTTTTCAAAATTTTTCAGTAGTTAAGATGTGGATGTGAAATTCTCTGTTCTAGAGAAATTGTTTGGAATTGTTCGCAGTGGTGGTGACATGAACCAGATGTCTGGAGAGTTTAATGCCTCTAAAAGCTAACTCACAGAGAGATTTTACATCTAATTGTAACAAATACATCTGAGACATCGTTTTACGGCAGTTTTGGGAATTAATTTTTGCCCTAAAATATACTTTTTTACATGCTATTCTTGAAGGAGAGGTACATGCAGAATGTTTTAAGGTGAAATAGTGGGTGTGTCTCAAAACCTAGTGAGCTCTCTAAGTAGCCGCTGTCTACATAGGCAGCTGTCTAAGAAGGCAGCGTTCCAACCGTCATCTATCCTTATAAGATAGATAAATGAGACGCTCTAGTTAGACAGCAGTGACATCGCCGCTTGTTCCCGCCCACTGCACGAGACCGGCGTTTACTTACCTCAGCCGTCAGAATCACATTTAGCCAACATGGATCTGCTCTGGCAGTTTATATAGCGATTTTAATTGTATTTGCTCTGAATGAAACAGCAAAACAGCTGAGGAAACATCCGATGCTCTCTTGATATTCGGCCTAAATCTTTACTCAGTAGGCAGCATATTTGAGATATCTAAGAATTGGGACAGCCTTCTTGTCGGGAGCGCGCATATTGTGACGTAAAATGCTGTCTATTTAGAGAGCTCACTAGGTTTTGAGACACACCCAGTATCTAAAGAAAATGGAATTTTTCAGATTTACCACTATTTTGCCATTAACATTAAAATAAAACAAAAAACAAAAATGTGGAGGTTCACTGGATAGTAAATGAAATGGCTATATTTGTGTTGTAGACATCGAGACTCCTGGTTCCTGCCACCACCACTGTAAAGACATCAAGAAGTCAGCAAGGTTCTCTCCAATGCACTACTGACATCAAAACTGCATAACCTACACATTAGTAATGTGGTACTTCCCAATAGATGTGGGTGATGTGGCAAAAATATATCATGATGCACAGTACATATCATGATGTGTCCTGTTAATTAATTACTTAATTACATAAGTACTAATTATGCACTTTTTAATGAAACATGCATTTGGTCAGTGATCTCTGAATACTGATGATATCCACAATATGCTCAGAAAAACAGATTATCACACAAAAAAAAAATCACGATCATAAAATATTGTCATATTGCTCACCTCTACCACCCAGTAATTTATAGTAGTTACTAATTAATAACTGAATAATAAGCTTTCAGTTTACTGATGTAGACTGAAATGGATGGTGTTGTAACTTGTCTGGTTTCTGACTTATTTGTGGTCCTCCTCTTTCTTACAGTGACTCTATCCCGTGAGCCAGGCTGGCTGGAAGGAGAGCTGGAGGGTAAACGAGGCCTCATCCCTGAAAACTACGTGGAAATACTGTAACACAGGATAAAAAGATAGAACACTCTATATACATGGTATCCATGGTGTGGCCCTGGCTTTATATACCCAATTCTCGCACTCTTTCTTCTCCTCAACTGTTCTGAGTGACCTATCTAGGTTTTTTCTAGGACTAAATGCGGATGTGGCAGCACAAACCTTTGTTGTCTTAAAGTATAAAGCAGAAGAATAAGCCTCTGATCCCATGCATATGGTGCAGAGTTTGAAGCTGTACATACTAAGTGCAGTGGGGGCGAGAATAAATGCCAGTGTCATCTATATATGTTGTCTTCCTCTACACTTTTTTGTGATTTTAATTCAACAATTTGGATTTACTGCATGGGTGTATATTGTATTTTATATTATTTAATTGACACAGTTGGCTTATTTGAATATCTAATGCACGTTTAAGTGAAATATAAACATATGTGTGATAATGAATACAACATGGCTTTGAAAAGGGTTGTCTTCATTATAGGTTTTTTCATTGTTTGAAGCACTCCTGATGTTGAGGTTGATGGTGTTTGTTGAGCACATTATATATATATATATAGTTATAAGTACATTTTAGAGTTTGTACTGCATTGAAATGCTGTGCCTTAAACTCACTATGCATCCTCTATTTGACGTTGTCCAAGAGTTTGGATGGAATTTATTTTTATTGTACATAGCGGAATTTTTTTTTATGGTATATAAAAAGATAAAAAACTGCCCCAGAAATGAACGAGGAAATAAACAGAATTATTTCACAGTGAGCATAGATGCAATATTGTCAGGTCTTACATTTGTGTTGTATTATATTATCACTCTTTAATAAAGGTCAAGTGCATGTATGAAATCCTCTACAGCTGGGTAAAAGATTTGTGCTGCTCCTCTTGCCAAGACAGTGGCAGCCATGCAGGAGTCACTCACACTGCAGTTTAATGAGGCGATCTCATTTTTCTAAGAGCATTTTATTCTTATGCTTCGTATTTGTGACTGAGCACCATTGCAGTAATTTAAGACAGTGATTTATAACGTCTGTAAAGGTCTTGGCATTGGTTTGATTTTTGTATTGTTGTATATCCTGTTGATCAATGTTAAATAAATAAAGGCTTTTTATTCTTACGTGTATTTTATTCCTATTTATTTGGACCCTGAACAAAGCGTCCCTCATTTAGGGCAGCTGAACGCTGCTGACTGTATCATTTGATCAAAAATAAAAGAGCGCTTTCAGAATGGATGTAGACAGAAGACACTGTGCCCAAGCACGCAACATGAATATGGCCAATATTCCACATAAGGTCATATTTACCCTCCTCGACAACATGATTGATCTAATGTTTGTTTTATATGCATGACCAGGCCAGATAAACAAGAGAGTGGCACCATTCCTTTAGTCATTGCTTTTCCTGGTGTAAAAAGACGGTCATAATAGGCTGTAAACAGCTGAATAACAGTAGATGGATAGATTAGAAGCTTTTGAGCACTTATAAAAATCAGCAGCACAACAGGGCCACATTGAAATTGAGTAGGTAACGTAGTTGTTGTGCTGTTAATATAATAGTAACAGATCTAATCTTGGCTTTTATTATTTTTGAATGCTTTGCATTAATGTCTGGCCTGACCGATATAAAAAGTGACCGATACCGATTTAAAAAAACAACAATATCAGCCAATATTGTTCTAGATGTTAATTTTATATTCCATTAGATTTAGTTAAACAGTGCTTTACTGATAGAAATCAAAACATAGTCGGTTGATTCCTCTGTCAGTTTCTAGGTATGCTAATGGTTAATCTTTGATGTTAGGACTTCAGTTCAGCTCCTGAAACCTAACCAATGGGAGAGCTCATTTGGCTGCGTCTACCTTGATACCACTGAGGAAAAAGTCCTGGACTTGGATTATTCCCCATTGTGCATTTCAAGAGTTTAATCCTTTTGTTTCCAAACAAAACTTAACATCACTTGGGTTTCCATTCAAATGTTTCACAAATGTGCTTAAAAGTCGATCAAAAATGCAAATTAATCTGTGTTTCCATCAGCTTCTACTTCTATGCACAAATTTTTAAAGATTACATCACATATGATGCTAGACAAGGGGTCCACTCCATTTATCTGTTCCAGCTCGTTGCTTATTAAGTAGTGGCAAGGTCAGAGAGACTAGCAACTGCTGTAGCAGGACAAATTGTCACATGTGGATTCAGATTTCTTGCATGGCGTTTGTTATGATGTAATGCACCTTCGCCAACTGAGCCAGAGCTTTCAGGCGGGAAAAGCAGCATATGCTGGATCATGTGCTGTTTAGAAATGGAGAGGAAACAACGCCTACACGGCACAAACAGCATGTGTGGGGTGGATACCACAGTGCACCTAAGAGTCTCGCGGACTATGGGTGGTGTATACAATAGAGGGAAATGAACCTTTATTAGCTCTCAGTAGGGCAGTTTTACAGGCCTCTTTCAGCTGCACATGACTGTACCCTACAGTTCAGAGACACCAGGCCCATTTAACCAAGGCTGGAGTTGCTGTTTCACTCCACCCTCACCCACTGAACCCAATAAGGGCAAAGAGTTCTGATAAGATAAACCAAATTTCCACTTCATTCAGGTGCAAAAACTTCTTTCTGTCATTTTTTCGAATTTCTGGCTTTTCCATCTAGATTTTTTATTCACATTTTCAAAATTTGCAAAAATTAGATGGATGGAAGAAGACCCATAAAAAGTCTTACAGTAATACTTCCACAGTTTAAACACCACAAGCATGATGATTGTATGATTATATTAAATAAACACAATGTAAAAATTACAATCACAGATTATTTTTTTATTTCACAGAAATCATTAGACCTCCTTTGAAGGACTAGAAGGCTCTGAAGACTTTCCTCTGATGTCATATAGTTAAACAGGGGGTGACTCATATTGGCCCCCCGTCTAAGAATCCATTCTATCATTGGAAGATCATGTGTTTGAATAGTGATTTTTTAATGGGAAAAAAATAATAATAATAAAGTTACAATAAAACAAAAACTGTGGGTCAACAATATTGGCGGATATTAACGGCCACCCAGTATACCTGTCAGGCGCAACTTCCTATGATGTTTATTGTCTAGAGATGAGTTTAGCTTGTGTAGTAAAATTATTGGTGTAACAATCATGATGAGCTTTACTGGTATAACCAACTAAAGCCAGATATACACTATGGTGTATTGGTTGTCACAGACAGTAAGTGGAAATTGTGAAAGAATTCTTTGGTTGTGAATTAAAATGTTTTTGCCATCAAAGACAGCCTGCATTTTTTTTTAAACTGAAATGCAGCCAATGCTGTTACAGCATAGTTTACAGTGGCTTTAACAGATTTCGCAATGTGTATTATAGTATTGCCATCATTATCAGTTTCATAAACTTGTCTAACTGCATGAGCTTTTCTGAGTCTCCAGTAAATGATTATACATAGATAGAGAACGGATAATAAAATACAATAAATAGTAATAATAATAATAATAATAATAATAATAATAATAGTTTAGGTGAGAGGATTTTATTGTAAGTCTGGATAACATCCACTATCCAGTAAGTAAAATTGAACACATTGCTTTTTTTTCCTCCAACACCTTAACCCTAATGCTGCCCCTGCATCCTTTCACCATGATAACCGTGTCCCCCTGCAGCTGTTTTCAGTTTCCACACACACACACACACACACACAGAGTAGCAGGGTCACACTATTACATTACACCACACACTACACACTGTACTATCCTCTCACCCTCTCTCTCTCTCTCTCTCTCTCTCTCTCTCTCTCTCTCACATACACAGCTGCCCCTGTAGCAGCTATGCACTTTTTCCATTTCAGCCTCTTTTTTTTTCACTACATGGATTAAAGCATCGTTTCCTGTCGAATTAGAGCCGCCTCGCCGCGGCCTGCTCATGGTGTGGGCGAGCGGCTGGCCGAGAAGGTCCTGAAGGGTGATCCACACCCAGCTCCTGCACAGCTACACTAACACTGCCTGTTAAAGGTTCAGGGACACCTTGCCTAGTTTTGAAAATTTCCAAGCAGTGTTTCCAATGTTCCATTTTCACTGTTTCAAAGTAATCCAAAGGTTAACATAAAGCAGCTGCGCGTTAATTCTTTGGGTATATTTAGCTTCATCACTCAGCTTCATGTTCATTAAAGTGTCTGGGTCTGAAGAGCAGGTTTTACATAAATAATGATTTGAGAGTTGCCTGCATTATGCAAATGCGCCATACAACCACTGGGAATCCCCAGAGGTAAATAAAACCACTGATGTGGAAGCTTATGAATACAGACAGGGTATTCCACATCCTCGCAGTAAGTTAGCTCTCTGGATTTATTCAAAAGAATATACAGAAATAAGTGAGTTTTAAGTAAGTTTTACATTTTACAGGGAATTTTAATGTGACATTTTTCTGTAAAATTTAATGCACAATTTCTGTTTATTTAAAATGTTTGCACCAGCCACACAGTGTTGAAAATGTGTTTTTGTTTTTTTTATGTTTTTTTTTGTGAAATTCAGCAATAAAGCAGTAAGTGTGCACTAAAATGTGCAGTATATGTTTTCTTCAGAGGATTGTGTATTTTTTTATTTAGAAAATCAACACAGCAAGTGTTTTGACCAGGGTTGCCAAAACATTTGCATATGACTGTAGTCTTCTCAATGAAGCTTCTGACTAGCTTGCTATGGCTAGCTAACAGTTATGCTGAAGCTAAGTGGTAACTAACATTAGTTACTTGAAAAGCTTCTTTAGAAAAGTTTATATATTCATGAAGGAAAAAGAAAATTCAGTTTTAACGATATGATCCTTTGAATATTGTGGCAGCTGCCGCTTGCCTCCGGGCTGCAGAAGGGATTTTAGGGGCATGGTCTGCAAAGCTGCACCACACACTCCACCCCTCCCTCTGCTGAAAGAGATCTTTGTTGTTGTGTTGGTTGTGTTTGTTGGTTCAGATGTGTGTATGTCTTGATTGTGTTATTTTGTGTTGGGCTGTGGTTAAGTGGGGATTAATGTAGAAAACATATGGCCCTGAATGACCTGCCTGCTCTAGGGCTTTGTTTGTTTATGCCTTGTCTGCTTGTGTAAATAAAAGAGCACTTTATAGCGTCAATAATCCCACTTCTGACACTATTGCGTTTCCTTCTACTCCCACACCACAATAGCGTTCCTTGGAGGTGTGAGTTCGAATCCCACTTCTGACACCACTGCATCTCCTTCTATGCTGACACCACAATATAGTCCAGATGCTTGAAAAAACACATAAGTACAGTACTGAAGTACATGTACAGTGGTGTGAAAAAGTGTTTGCCCCCTTCCTGATTTCTTATTCTTTTGCATGTTTGTCACACTTAAATGTTTCAGATCGCCAAGCAAATTTAAATATTAGACAAAGATAACAGAAGTAAACACAAAATGCAGTTTATAAATGAAGGTCTTTATTTTTAAGGGAGAAAGAAATTCAAACCTACAGGGCCCTGTGTGAAAAAGTGATTGCCCCCTAAACCTAATATCTGGTTGGGCCACCCTTAGCAGCAACAACTGCAATCAAGCATTTGCAATAACTGGCAATGAGTCTTTTACAGCGCTGTGGAGGAATTTTGACCCACTCATCTTTGCAGAATTGTTGTACACATTGGAGGGTTTCTGAGCATGAACTGCCTTTTTAAGGTCATGCCACAGCATCTCAATCGGATTCAGGTCAGGACTTTGACTAGGCCACTCCAAAGTCTTCATTTTGTTTTTCTTATGCCATTCAGAGGTGGACTTGCTGGTGTGCTTTGGATCATTGTCCTGCTGCAGAACCCAAGTGCGCTTCAGCTTGAGGTCACCAACAGATGGCTGGACATTCTCCTTCAGGATTTTTTGGTAGACAGCAGAATTCATGGTTCCATTTACCACAGCAAGTCTTCCAGGTCATGAAGCAGCAAAACAGCCCCAGACCACCACACTACCACCACCACATTTTACTGTTGGTATGATGTTCTTTTTCTGAAATGATGTGTTACTTCTATGCCAGATGTAATGGGACATACACCTTCCAAAAAGTTCAACTTTTGTCTCGTCAGTCCACAGAGTATTCTCCCAAAAGTCTCGGGGAT